TATATCTATATCTATATCTATATCTATATCTATATCTATATCTATATCTATATGTCTATCTCATGTGTATTCTCATCTCTACATTGAAGCTGAAGGAATAAAACTACTTACTTAATATCAAAGTTCTTGAGCATAGCAGTTATTCAGCTGGCACGTACAAATAGCCTGAGTTGTCAATGGAGGCGCTGGGGTAGGGGAGATGAATGAACAGGGATAGATGACTGGGATATCTGGGATAGCTTAAGCCTAGTAGCCTTCAGCCTTTTGACTTTGCATTTGCCATTGACTACACGCTCTCTTGTTTGATAATCTTCTATTTCCGTTTCTTTCGCATTCTCTTTCTCCTTCTCTTTCTCCTCCTCCCTCTCTGTTTCATTCCGTTGGCAGTCGGTTTTGCCTGACATTGTTCTTGCCATTTGGCACGTTGTTAGTGGCCTTTGGGTGCGTGCAGTTGTCGTAAAATGGAATTTGATAGGCCATGACATGAATATAGTAGCTGGACACATACACACACACTGGCACACTTGCATACATTTACAATCTGCGATTGCCTAAATGCCGAATAAAGTGCAATGCAATGATCGAACCTCGTGCCAAACATAAAATCCTATAGGTTTCAACGACTGCCTAATACCCTACCCTAAGAATACTGTATTTTTGTGTGAGCTTATAATTTAACTGACTGGAAATCGAAAAGTCTATTTATAAGATTTGGAAAGCATTTGAATACTATATGATGTGAAAAGAATCATTATCATCAAAATGGATTCCGCACAACAAATGGCAAGCATAATAATATACTTTTGCTATTATTTCCAAACAGAAAAAAAAATTTAATATTCAAACAAAAAGCCAGTGAGCAAGTTCTAGGGCATTCTCGACTAAAAGATACCGTAAACAATCTGCAGGATTATTATTTATTTTTATTTTCTGATATCAGCTTGATTCATAGAGAATAATGGATAGATGGATCAACGCAGATTATCTTCCATCATGAGATAAAGTTCTTCTGCCTGTCAGTCCGTTGCATACAATTCTACAAGTCATCATACCCGGTTTTCCCATTTTCAATGACCAGGAAAATCTCTCTTTGCCTTTTTGAAAGCAAAAATTTGTAAAATAATTTGCTGACTCTGACTTGGCGACAAATTGTTGGCATGGCCTGCGATAAGACTTATATAGAAATGTTTTGCATATTTGTGTCACGTTGACAATAATACTAAAGGTAGGCAGGCTACTTACAGTCTAGTATCTGGCAAGTGCCAACATCACAGACCATTTCTATGGCGACCCTGAAGCTGCTTTGCCGCCAAATTCCCAAAAATGGTGAAACGAAAAAAAAAAAAAAATCATCATAAATTAGCTGTTTAACGGGAAATGCAAATTGAAATGATAGATTGACTAGGAAGCGTATTGCGCATTCGTTGACCACTTAAAAGGCTATATAAATGCCTATGGTATTCGATCTAATATCTAAGACAAACAATAGAACTATAATATATTTAAATTAAAGCATGCGCATATTGAATTAATTAAGATCGCAAAGCCTAAACATTTCAAAGCAGCTGGCAAAATCGCTATTTAGCTGACCGGATTGAAGACCCGCGTTGTTGTTCATTTATTATGTTAGACCCATTTAATATATGCAAAATATTAATTGACGTGCGACAGACCAACAAGACGACTATACGCCTACCAAAAGCATAACGAAAGTAAATTTAAGAATTAAGAAAAAAAGAAACAGAAACAAAAACTGCGATTGGTCCAAATCGTAGAAGAGCAATGCTGACTCAGCC